CAGGGTAACTGCAAAGACTTCCTTTTGTGCTTTGCACACGGGAGTCAAAAACAAGCAGTTTCTCGGCTGGGATAGCTCTGTTGTTAGCAATTCACATTTGAATTAAAGAACTGAAGATATCATTAGAAAATGAACAAATCTGAGAGAGGTCTACGTGAGGTACCTATATTTATAGTATCAAAGCAATCAGACTTGAGTTTTTTAACAAGAAGTCCAAAATATCACTTTTTTCCAAAAATACTCATCAAAATTAGAGAATTGAAGATATCATCACAAAAGGAACAAATCTGAGAGAGGTCAACATGTAATACCCATAAATATAATATCAAAGCAATTGGACTCATATGATAAGTTCTGCTCGACAAAGTCGACAGCAAAGCTAACAATAATTCCAAACATTTTTGAAAGAGTTGAGTTGAATTAAGGCACACATACCTCCCAAGTCAATAACGGTAGTACTAAAGCCATAGCAGTGAATGCCATCATTACATGTGCTCTTCGTTGCTCCGCCATGATATCAGTCGATCTCATGAACAATATAGACCATATAATATAATATATTACTATTAGACACAATAAACACATCAATATCCACACTGGGATGAAGACAATCTGCAAGATAATAACAATGATGTAGTAACATTAATTTCCATAACATGTAGTTTTCTTCGATTACGCACTACATTATTAAACAGTTGATGCCCACAGTTTCAGACCAAACACATTAAAAGCAACCTTTGGAATTATCTTCAAAAATCTCAGTAGTTTTTTTTTTTTCACAAGCAGATCAATAGTGGTGGTTGATTGGTCAGTTAATGTCCAGATTTAAATATCATCCACTCTTCAGAGATGCGCTGGTAGTAATGATTGATGATGTCAAAGTAATATACTAGAAACAATAATTAATTAATTGGCCAAATACTATAAAACCATTTAATTTCTCTATTTTGATGTTTGAGCCTTTTCACTGGGTTTTTTAAGTTCACAAACTTGGCAGGAAAACAATAAGTTCTATTGTTATTCTTATCTATATGTTCACATGGATTTACTTTAGCAGATTTTACTTATCGGCAAAATTAGAACTATAAAATATTATATTGGAGGAGAAGTTGAATTATAGTGGGATTGTTTCCATATACAAAAACCTTCAAAATAGTAGTGAAATATTTTGATTTTCCCTTCATATTCTGAGTGAAGTGAAGCATTCTCCTAATTTGCCTAGGAGCTGCATTAAAAAAAGATTTTGTCTCACATATTTCACATAATGTGAGTTGAAGACTTACCACCCAGCTCCATGTTATAACTCCATCTAGTCTTAGCGCTATAAAAATAAACTGCAGAATATTCACAGATAATATTGCCTCCAACTGAAAAACACAAACAAAATACAGTACTCAATATAAGACATGATAGTTATAGATGTATACAGAAGCCGTATACATTTGTAGTACCGTCTGAGTGTAACTTACTAGTAACTCCCAAGTGGCTCTTACGCACGCACTGATGGACGCACAGAGGTCAATCCATAAGTCCCCGAACTGGGACTAACAAAGTCACAAACAGAATCACCATGGTACATACATGTATGTGGGGCATTCACATCCAACAAAACTTATTAGCAGGGATCACATTTGCATATGAATAAATCCCTCTTGTTTAAAGGTGAATTTTCTTTTACATTTAGAATTCTGTTATGTAATGTACCTCAACCCTGTACATGGTCAGAATGTGGCAAAACTGGTAATATGAAGCCGTATATTTTTCCTCCTATTCAACAAGAAATTAAATGATGCACTAGCTCCACACTGACCAGAGACAAATTATTTTTTCTAATGTACCAAATGTAGTAGGGCATGAAAGCTTACTGACTTCAGAAGAATGTGTAAAAGAAAAAGACTGAATTTCTTTAAAAGATAAATTATTAATTATATTGTTATATTTATTAATTATTTTAAGGAATGAAAGATGGGTAGGCCCGAGCGTGCATCAGAATCCCATGTCTAGCTAATTATTTATACCCCAGAACAAGTATGCATGTTTTACTACCGGTATTTTAAATTGTACAAAACAACCCACAGAGACTACTTCTACATGTTCCCTCCAACTAGACCTGATTCTCCCAACTAAAGTTAGCCTGGAAAGTCTGGCTGAGTACCAGAAGCAAGAATTGAACGTGAACTATCCCTGACGCAACCAAATCTCACATACCTCAAGTGACCTGTCATGTCTGAATCCCCAAATACATGCCGCTATCGACAGCGGCGATACGAAGAATAACGGCATGAAAACCAGTATCCAGAGATGGCGATGTGTCTCCAGATTGTCACATGCTAGTATCTCAAACACAAATAATAACAAGTTCAAGGTCACACAGATGTTCATTGCTTTGAACTCCACATAACCTTCTCCTTCAACTCTGTAAAGAGAAAATATGAACAGTCATGATGACATGAATGTTTCTTATACTATCGACACAACAAACCCATTCTCTTATTTTTTATAAATACTGAAACAAGAGGTTTCTATGACTGATGGAATAACATTGAAACATTTTAAATTAAGTCTTGTATTGTATGGAATTTATTTTCACTGATTATAAACGAGTTGAATGTAAAATATAGGAAAAATGTACATTCGATGGAATCTATTTTCACTGAATCATTCGAAAATAGCGAAAATTAATTCCAAGCGCAAATAAAGTATTTTACAGTAGCTTTTTATACGTGTTCAGCTCAATGCTTGAATTACTAGAATCTTACATGACAAATATCTCATTGATTCAAATTCGTTGTTATTTACCTGTACTCTGGATGCTTTATCCACACGGTGACACCGACAGTCGCACCAGTGAACACAATCAGTTCCATATCCATAACGGTATGAAAACGGTCCAGAAACTACCTGTTATTGTGTTGTCCAATCGT